TTTTTACATATAAAAATTAAAGGCCAAAACCCAAAAGGAAAAGCTAGTCTTTCATCTTGTATGCTATTCTGTGATTTCTTTCTTTTTTTATTTTAAGGAACCCTTTCCTCTTCATCAAACATTCCTACATCTTTCTGCAAGAATGGTGGCACCTGGATGAATGGCAGATGTATTTGTCCAGAAGAATGGAAAGGACTGAGATGCACAATCAGTAGGTTACTTGTGATAATACTAGTATATGAAGTTTAGGTGATTCTTGTCAATAAAGATAGTAGCAGATCTTCTTCAAGCTTCTATTATGATTATAATCACAATGGGCATGATGTGATGGATTTAAGATGTGTTTGTTAGCTTAATAGTAAAAGCCAAGTTTTCTTAGTTTTTTTCTCAGGCTGTTTACTTGAATGTTCAATACATTCTACATATTATGTTTCTCAGTAAGCTCACAGCTGCTGTTTCTTCTGACCACAGTATATTAGTGTATTTGCATTAGAATACAGGGAATAAGTGATATATTTTCTCAGATCTTTATATTATGATATGCCATAATACCCCATTTCAAATGTCACAGTTTTTTCATATTTAACTTTTTTGAAGTAAAGATGTATCTTCCTATCCAAGTGTATACTGTAACTTTTTGTCTTCTCTTGAAGAAATGTTACTATAATAGTGATTTGAATTCAGTCAATGCTCCAAGTGATTTGAATTCAATTGAATGAATTAATATGAATTTAATCAAAGTTCTAAGTCACTTGTGATCTGCTATGTTTTTCCCAACACTCTGCACATATCACATTACTTGCTTTGGGTCCAAAGCCCTAGAAATCCATTCCTGTCATTTCCCACAGTCCTAGCAGGCAGCACACCTTATATATATCCCTCAACTTTGGCCATTTCTTCTCTGACCCACATCATCATGATGACCTTTATGCTATGAAAATTAAATATCTTTAATTCTTAAGATTTTATCTAATCTTATATTCTTCTCTTTCTGATATGTTAATGATCATGTCCAGTCTCTGCATCTCTACCATATTATAAATTGTGTACATTTTACTAGAACATGTTATCTAATCTAACATTAAAGACTTAACCAGATGAGAAACTATGAAGTTTGGTGTGTGTGTGTAGAAGGGGGTGCAGTGAGTCCTGTAAGTCTTCTAGTAACCTTCAAGTTACACTGGGTACATTTTTTTTTTTAATGCTTCTGAATTTGTAATTTGAATTTGTAATTTCCTTAAGTTAAAATAACATTGTTTTACATCCTTATTCCTGTCTTGAAAGTATAGGATTTTGAACATTGACTTTTATCTAGTTTGAAAATTTTAAAAGCAACATATAGTTGATGTTGAAATATATATTTTTCATTCCATTATAGTCAATTACTGTGAAAGTGGACCTTATGAAAACTATACATTTAAAAAAATTCCAGTGGGAAGATATGGATATTCCTTGGAAACATGTGGCCCTGACACCCCAAATGGTATGTTTTTCCAAACATCTCACTTAGGGCAAATGAGTCACTGTGCTCGTCCTACCAATCATCCCGCCAACTATTAGTAGACCCTGGGAGACATGTCAAAGAAGATTTGTGGAAGTGTTTGGTTCTCTTTCATGATGCCAGTGTTGCACGTTCAGGGTGCTACCTTACATAGTTCTAATTAAAAAAAAAAAAAAAAAGAAAGAACATTATAATGTGGATCAATTGTACATTCCTTTTAATTTCTCTGACCCCCTCTAAGTTTTCTGTATTTTCCAGAGTTCAGGGAGTTCACTTAGGTTTGAGTTTTGTAATTTGTTTCCTTTTAAAGATTAGTTCAACTATGGCTTTCAGGCTTCATCTTTCTGGTCAGAGGTGCAATTTAGCCTGTCCATAGTTGGTACTCCTTCCTTGGTCATCTTAGATTTTCATCTTAGAACATTCTCTAGTTTCATCATACCTTTCCTGAAACATTATTAATCTTGTTAACATAAAGGCATTCCAAAAAGAAAGCAGGAAATAGGGAAATGTTTTCTATTTCTAATATGCTCCCTGATATCCAGGATGTTGATGATCTATTTGATTTCAATGCCATTTAGGTAATAGCTCCTGAAAGTAGCTCTTAGAAATTCATGAATCCTTTTTCTGAGGGCTTTGAGTTCCTTATTGCATATAACTTCCCCTAAATGTTTTACTTGTCCTTTGTTTGCATTAGCTTTGACCTGACAGTCATCTCTGTTCTCACCTCACCTGGGTTACCATTGATTCCCTGCAGACCTAGTACCAGTCACTTCTAGATTATTTACACAAGTGTTTGGTAGGACTCTGTCAGTAATGGTTATGGAGAAAATTCCACATTTACTTAAATGTGTATGTTAGCAGTTCTTTGAAACACTGAATAAATTATGCACTGCTCTTTCTATAAGCCTGTTTTACTTTTTTCTAAGATATTGTATGTACAAGCATTCCCTTTGCAAGTCTAAGTTAGTTCTGCCCACATATATCAGGCTTACCTAAAGTATTTATGATCTCATTTTTTTTAAAGATTTATTTATTTGTACATACAGAACTGGGGTACAGGCTAGAGGCTCAGGGGTG